GAAGAGTATGCCGGCGGCCAAAAGGCCGGCAGCGGGCCCCAAGGTTGCGATGAAGGCCATGAAGGCGATGAAGTCCATGAAGGCGATGAGTGCCATGAAGAGTATGCCGGCGATGAAGGCCATGAAGGCTGCAGGGGCGAAAGCGATGAAGGCAATGACGTCTACGAAGGCGATGAAGGCCATGAAAAAGCCTGCAGCCAAGCCAGATTGGTGTGACTCTGACAAGAACGATGACAGGAAGAAAGATGGCGACAAGAAGCCGGACGATGACAGGAAGAAAGATGATGGCCTGATGAAGTGCGGAGAGGCCTCGTTCGTGAGTGGCCTTCGGCTGTATGGACCGCACTGGCTGAACGAGCCGGACAAGGTGGATGCAGTGCAGGTGGTTGAGGGCGAGCCGGTGTGCGAATTTGGCATCAAGCTGAGTTCGACAGTCGCAGATCTGCTGGCAATGGGGCAGCACGCGGGATGCGGCTCCACTCGCCTGAAAGCCCATGGCATATGTGTGCACTGCTTCGAGGTCTGAGATGGTCTGAGGGTTCGTCAATCTGAGCAGTGCATCTTGCGAGTGCTGTGATGTAAGTAGCACCACAGCAGCAGCACCACAGCGCACACAGCCACACACAGCCACACACACACACACACACAGCCACACACACACACACAGCAGACACAGCACCTGCGAGGCGAGGTCTCACATGGTCTCACAGCGAGGGGTGAGTTTCTTTTCCCGGGGGGGCTGGGCTGAGTGTGCATAGGGTGTCTAGCTTCGGGTGGCAGTAGACTATTCTCAGCGACATATCCTGGGCATAGGCCGGGTTGCATATAGGATTAGACTATGCTCTGGGGAGGTTAATGCACATTCGGCTAGCGGCTCGATTCATTGTGATTGGAGTGAAACTGTTGGCTGTGCGTGGTTGCCCCTGGGTTTCGGAGTATGGTGATAGGTTCGGGCGTTCCGTTCGTGCTCTCGCTGAGGTTTCGGTGGGGTTTGGGCTTCGGGGTTTGGCGTTTGGGCTTGGAGCTTGAGCTTTGGGGAGTCCCCGAACTTCGAACCCAAACCCCAAACCCGGAACCCCAAAGCCCGAACCTCGACCCCACCCGAAGCCCAAAACCTAAGCCTCAAAGCCCAAGCCCCATCAAGCCCCCAAACCCCTTGTCCATTCCCGCTGCCTGAAGCCATCCCGAACTCCCCTTTAAGCTCCCTTGTCCTGCAGGTTGTCGCTTCTTCCCTGGTGCCGATAGCCTGGGCCTTGGCATCACTCGTCTAGCCTCCTTGCTGCCCTTTTGCTCCCCCTGCCTTCCTTAGGTCCCTGCACCGGATGATGCCAAGGCCGGGGTCCTTTGCTCTTGTTGTGCGACCGTTGGCATCGCTTGGAAGCTTCTCTCCCGGTCGGTCTGTTCCTCTTGATTGCCTTCCTTTGTGCCACAACCTTGGTCAGGCCCCAGCACAGCCTGCTTCGTCTTCCGCCTGGGTCCTGGGCTCTCGCTTGTGTCTTGTCGTTGGACTCCATGTTTTCTCACCTCCGCCATGTTAGGTCCCTGGTCTGCAGCCTTCCGATGACCTTCCGGCGGGCGCCGGGGCCTTGAGCCTAGGGCCGAGGGCTTCCACTATGATGCGGCGGTCAGCTACACTAAGCCATCCTTGGTTGCAGGTGACTCCTCAAGGCCTGGATTCAATGGAGGCTGGTCCGTTGGAGCTGGGCTCGATGCGGCTAGGATATGCTGGGATGCATCGTGCCTAGGTCGCTGGAGCTCCCGATGATAGACAGGCCGTGCCCATTGTCGTTGGTCTTCTTGATTGTCCGCTTGCTTCGCATTGCCTAGGTCGCTGATGCCCCGGAGCCTTCTTCTTCGAGGGTGCCACTTGTCTGGTCCTCGGATGTCCTTGGGCATCCCGGCACAGCTTCGCAGCCTGGATCATGCCATCGGTCAGGACGCCCTGGAGCCCGTGTTGCCATCGACTTTGGCGGCGCCTTGCCTCAAACTGGGGGACCACCTAGCTGGCACCTGTCTCGGCTTGTTCCTTTGTTGCAGGTCTCTGACGTGCTGCTTGCCCGGAGTAGTGAGGAGGCCGGCTTGTTCCCTTGTTGGACTTGGATGAGCCCACCTCCTGTTGCAGGCTTTGGGTGCTCAAGTTGGTGATCCCACGACCGAGGACAAGGTCCTTGCTGTGCCGGGGCTTGAACGTTCTAGTGACTCTAGTGCTTGGCCGATGCAGGCTCCCTCCTTGAACCTTCCCGGTGATGAGGCGGGGGTCGCGGCTCCAGCACTGAGGATACTACGTGCGGCAATGTGTTGAATGCTTGGGCTTGTCGTCTTGGGCAATGCTGCAGTGCGATCGGTCCAAGGTCAGGTGTTGCTTCGTCCCATTCGCTGAGCCCACATGTCAGATAGCCCAGCACGAAGCACGGCAGCACACGGGTCGGTGGCGGCACTGGCTCTATCGCCAGACTCTCGCCAGATGGAGGCATTGGCTCTATCGCCGGATTCTCGCCAGATGTCGTCTCGGGGTATGCCATCACCGAAGGCTGCGCAGATCACGACAGGCATCCGCACAGCCTGCACTCTCAAGCCTGACTGGTCGGCCTTTGTCATGACACCTTCGCCTCCTCCTCGACAGATCACGATAACCCCCCGCATGTCAGGTAGCCCTGCAAGCTGCGCCCTGAAGCCTGACTGGTCCGCCTTTGTGATGACACCTTCACCGGAGCCTCGGCGGGTCACGACGAAGCAGAATGCCATCTCTTCGGCCACCTCATCTGCAGAGACACCCAAGCGCAAAACCGCACGGATGGATGCAGAGTCAGTCGACAAGGGCAGCAAGAAGCGGCGAGTCGGCCAATCGGTGGAGTCCAAGCATGGCATATAGAACAAGTCAAGGGAGCTGGCAAAGCTACTGGGGCATAAGCCCCGCTTGTCTGCTTTTCGGTGCTCTACCGCGACTGGGGGACTCTCGTGATGTGCGCCAAACATGCAAAAGTATGGCGGAGTGCCGGTGTTGCATGTCGTAGGGCTGCCTCTCCTTTTCGGTTGCAGAAGCAGAAGCCTCCCACCCAACAACCACGAAGGCAGCTCCAGAGGATCTATCAGCAGAGGCTCGTCGTGCTTGGGTTTTGGGTCCCACATAGTTAATTTGGGTTCCAGGGTCCATGGCATGCGATATGTCCTGTCTCCTTGCATGACCAGGCAGCTGAAACTGCCGCGGCACCCGAGGCTTGGTACCCACTCAACATAGCTCGCAAGATGCTCATCATGTCGGTCTGACGTTGAGGCACCAGATGCATTGCAGCTGAACAAGGACGAAGCCAAGGTGGCTGTCGCATGGTACCCTGTCGGCCAGGGTTTCGGGATTTTATGTGCCCGGGGTTGGAGGCAGATGAATCGATGGCTAGCAGGGCCATGCCTCTTGAGGCCTGTGCTCGAACCCGGGGTTGTCATGACTTGGCACCAATACATCTGTGGCTTCCTTGCGCTTCGTGCTAGGTGCCGACTGCTCAAGCTCCTGATATCTCTGGCCCAGCTGATGCTTCCAGGGCCCGAGACTGACTCGGGTTGTGATCCTGTATGCTGGTGATCTGTTGCTTGCTGGTGCTTCGTGCTAGGTGCCGACTGCTGAAGCTCCTGATCTCTCTGGCCCAGCTGATGCTTCCAGGGCCCGAGACTGACTCGGGTTGTGAGTCTGTATGCCTGTGATCTGTTGCTTGCTGGTGCTTCGTGCTAGGTGCCGACTGCTGAAGCTCCTGATCTCTCTGGCCCAACTGATGCTTCCAGGGCCCGAGACTGACTCGGGTTGTGAGTCTGTATGCCTGTGATCTGTTGCTTGCTGGTGCTTCGTGCTAGGTGCCGACTGCTGAAGCTCCTGATCTCTCTGGCCCAGCTGATGCTTCCAGGGCCCGAGACTGACTCGGGTTGTGAGCCTGTATGCCTGTGATCTGTTGCTTGCTGGTGCTTCGTGCTAGGTGCCGACTGCTGAAGCTCCTGATCTCTCTGGCCCAGCTGATGCTTCCAGGGCCCGAGACTGACTCGGGTTGTGAGTCTGTATGCCTGTGATCTGTTGCTTGCTGGTGCTTCGTGCTAGGTGCCGACTGCTGAAGCTCCTGATCTCTCTGGCCCAACTGATGCTTCCAGGGCCCGAGACTGACTCGGGTTGTGATCCTGTATGCCTGTGATCTGTTGCTTGCTGGTGCTTCGTGCTAGGTGCCGACTGCTGAAGATCCTGATCTCTCTGGTGATGTCAAGACGGAGAGTCCTGCCGTGGCCTTGGAGTACGGGCTTTGAGGTCGGTTCTTGCTTGCTACAGCGTGTGCTTTAGTGTTGCAGAGTACCCGGCTGGGGTTTGCAACATTGGGGGGGTGGATCGTCGGGGTTGGCTTGTGTGGGGCGGGGCAGGGTAGACGTGACACCCTGGAAAGTTGCAGTCCCGGGCTTTTGCGGGGTACGTGGGTGCTTTCGGCTGTACCCGAGCATGCCAAGGCGGAGGCTGGGGTTTGCAACATTGGGGGGGTGGATCGTCGGGGTTGGCTTGTGTGGGGCGGGGCAGGGTAGACGTGACACCCTGGAAAGTTGCAGTCCCGGGCTTTTGCGGGGTACGTGGGTGCTTTCGGCTGTGTCTTGCCCAGTACTGTGTCTGTAGTGTTTCGTACCCGAGCATGCCAAGACGGAGGCTGGGATTTGCAACATTGGGGGGGTGGATCGTCGGGGTTGGCTTGTGTGGGGCGGGGCAGGGTAGACGTGACACCCTGGAAAGTTGCAGTCCCGGGCTTTTGCGGGGTACGTGGGTGCTTTCGGCTGTGTCTTGCCTAGTACTGTGTCTGTAGTGTTTCGTACCCGAGCATGCCAAGACGGAGGCTGGGATTTGCAACATTGGGGGGGTGGGTCGTCGGGGTTGGCTGGACGTGACACCCTGGAAAGTTGCAGTCCCGGGCTTTTGCGGGGTACGTGGGTGCTTTCGGCTGTGTCTTGCCCAGTACTGTATCTGTAGTGTTTCGTACCCGAGCATGCCAAGACGGAGGCGGGGATCTGCAACATTGGGGGGGTGGATCGTCGGGGTTGGCTTGTGTGGGGCGGGGCAGGGTAGACGTGACACCCTGGAAAGTTGCAGTCCCGGGCTTTTGCGGGGTACGTGTGCTTTCGGCTAAACCCGAGCATGCCAAGACGGAGGCGGGGATCTGCAACATTGGGGGGGTGGATCGTCGGGGTTGGCTTGTGTGGGGCGGGGCAGGGTAGACGTGACACCCTGGAAAGTTGCAGTCCCGGGCTTTTGCTGCTCCCTCCAGATTTTCGTGAAATATGTAGTCTGGGCCCTCTGCCGAGGTCATCCGATGTCTGCCTGACTTTGTGGCCAGACCGTGGCAAGTGCTGCGGGAGTACGTGTCAAAGGCTGGCAGCATTCCACCTGAGTTGAGGGATGAAGATTGGCGCAGTCTTTACAAAGCAGCCTCCGAGCGCCTTCGTCGAGGGGTGGCAGAGGAGGCGGTGCTGAAGGCGTGCTCATATGTTGCCTGGAGGGAGACCCACAGCGATGAGTCTCTGAAATGGCCCGGTCCTGAGGGTGGTGCCGTTAACAGGGAGGACTGGCCCGACTTTGTGGCCTGTCGCAAGCAATGCGAGCACCTGCTGAGCGACTTTGACCTACCTTTAGCGATCGCTGCAGAGAGGCAAGAGCCCCTCCCAGAAAAAGACAGCTGCCTGGTTTCTGCACTCACACATCCTATGAAGCAGTTCCTAGAGGAGTTGCAAAGAAGACAGCTGCCTGCACTCTTCGATTTGCAAACGGGGGCTCTCCGGGAGTTTCTGTCCAGCTCCGCTGCGGAGAAGTCAAGCACGGCAGGAGCTGCAAGCACGGGCGCTGCTGTGAAGCAAGAGCCGGGTGCTGATCATCGTGGGCTATGCCGAGATCTTGTTCGAGGCATCTTGCAGAAGTGGCCCAACACACCTCCCGTGGCGGGCCAAAGGATGCACCTTGGTACGATGATGCACATGATCACCGCTTGCCTAGATAGAGAGCTCGGAGACACGTGGCCCATGCATTGTGTCTTTGTGGACGGTAGCAACGAAGAACGATCCCGGATGTTATCCTTGCAGTCAGAGGCAACACTCTGCCTGGCCGTGCTGTCAACCTCCACACACTGGGGACTTCTCTGCACCTGCAAAGGCAAGCCTGAAGCTGTTTTACTGGATGGCCTCCGCGACCGGACACTCCACGATGCTGCCCTAGCTTTCCTGGAACATTTGCGGCAGCAGCAGAACTGGTCCGGCCCTTATGTCTTGCAGTACGGCAACATCTCGCAGGACGATGACTGGAGCTGCGGCCACAGGGTTGTTCTGTGTGCTGAGGCTGTGATAAAAGGCCGGGGTTGCTGGCCACCTGATGTTGGAGACCATGCATCCACATGGGCAGTGACGAAGCTTTGTGTCCGGAACATTGCCAAGCCTGTGAAACGTGAGGCTACCGCAGAGGATCCGTGTCCGAGCAGTGCCAAGGCCGCGAGACGAGATGCAGCTGCAAGCACTGGGGCAAGTGCAGCTCCAAGTACTCCTAAGAGGCCCAAGCGAGATCCAAACCCATCCACTCCGCCTGCAGAGAAGCCTTCCAAGAAGCCCAAGACGGATGAAGATGCCGAGGCTCAGGTTGTGCAGGTTGCCGACGACATGGTGACCGAAGCATTGATGGCCCGGAGGAAGCAGAAGACAGGGAGCAAAGCCAAGGGCGGCAAGCAGACGCCAGCTCAACTCCGCAAAGCTGGCATGGAGCTCTTCCGCAGTGGGGGCTTGTGCTTCAACCGCGACTATCAGAAACTTCACGTTGCACAGAAGGATTCTTACGAGGGGAGCACTCACTGGCCTACTTTTCTAGAGAGCCTTGCTGCGGGCAGGGCAATGAAATGCCCGTCATGTCGTATGCTCCGCGAGAAGATCCAGGCTGCAAAGGACGTACCAGCGGATACCAGCGAAGCACTCGTGCCGCTTGCATCCGGAGATGACGCTCCTGAAGTTCCCGAGCTGCCGCCAGCACCTCCGCAAAGGCAAGGGGTCCCAAAGCAGTCTGGCCTGGAGAAGTGGATCTCGGAAAACCGTGCAGGTGTGTACGAGAGGCGAGACAAGAACTGTGTTTTTGGCCTCCTCTGCAAGGTGGAGGTAAACGTGTACGGGCGCAACGGGACCAGTGGGAATCATTTCCTCTTGAAGCATGAGGGAACGAAGCTCGCCCGCAAGCGGCATGCCCTTGTAAGCCAGGAGAAGCCGGCGGCAGTGTGCCATGGGGTGACCTTGGGCAGCGGGGAGTGCCGAGTTGACTTGGTGTCGGACAGCTGCCGTCGCTGGGTGCTGGGTGGATGCATGAAGACACAGTCGATGTCTGCCGAGACCCAGGGCCAGCAGAAGAAGCCTCCTCGCAAGCCTCCTCCGCCAGATGTGCTGGATCAGTGCAGCTACACATGGAAGGGTGATGAGTTGCTGCTGCGCAGCATCTCTTGCGATGGCTTCAAGGAGGGTGAGTCCAGCTGCAGTCGTTGCCGGCAGATCTGCAACTCCAAGACCTTCCATGCGGACATCGCCCTCTGGGCCTGGAGGCAGGAAGCCGCGGAGTTCGTGCGAGTGCTGGTGTATCAGTCCCCGGAGAAGGTTCTGCAGTACGAGGAGAAGATCCGGGCCAGCGACTACATGAACTTCGAGAAGGCAAAGCAGGAAGCCAGTGAGGTTCTTGGGCTCAAGGATCCCCTTCAGCGAGCATCCCTTATCAAGCGGAAGCTGCTTGGCATCAACCACAAGGTGAGGACCGAGCGACTGCATGCTTTCCTGGAGGCAACCCTTGCCAATGTGTCCTTGGAGCAGAGCACTCTTGATGAGAAGCGAGCCCTGGATGCGCTGTCAACCAACTTCTGCGAGGCGGTGGCCGAGGGCTCCGCACAGAAAAGCAACCTGGAGCTGGCGGCCAAGGTGGCCTCGGGAGGATTGGACAAGCACAAGGCCGTCGCTGCGATGTTTCACGGGTTCTTCGCCATGCAACAACGACTGGAGCGAGGGCAAGTGCGCCTCCGCCGAAGTGCTGATGAGGAGACAGTGAACGAGCTCTTCTTCCTCTTCGGCCTAAGCAGCGGGACGAAGGAAGTCTTGAAGCAATTTGGCCTGCGGATTGCACAGAACCCCACCATGGAGCAGCAATCGCCCCTCGTGCCACAGCCCTTCATGGCCCTGCAGAACAAGGACAGGCTCGAGGTGAACTGTCGATTAGCCCTGGACCTCCTCAACATCCAGAAGAAGAGATGCTACTACCTCACATTGGACGAGACGTGTTGGAAGCCGACATACGACATCCTCTCAGCATCAGGTGCCTCTGCTTCCAAATGAACGGGTGGATATAGTGTCAGTTAGACTGTGCCGAGGGGGCTTTAATGGGCTTTAAGGGTTCTGTCCTCTGACGAGGTTTGGCGAAAAATGCTGAAGGTGAGGACCTGAGGAGCTTGGTTGTCGGTGGACATTATCATCGGGATGACGATTGGAGCATGCTTGCGAATGCGAAGGAGCTGCCATCGGATAAGTTGTCTCGCTTGTCTATCCACTTTTTCGTGGCCCGCACCGACTCCCAAGCTCAGGCATGGGAAGTGGCGAGCGTGCCCATGCCAGCGGGCCAGAGTGGCAAGGCAGAGGAGTTTCTCCGGTGGACCGGGTGCATTCTCAAAGCTCTCACCAAGTCAGGGGCTCCGCCTTTAGGCCTTGCAAGCGATGCTGGAGGCTGCAATGCCCTGGTGCGGCAGTTGTGTCTGGGCTTCATGGTCCCGCCAGAGGACGTTCCATTCTTCAGCGAGTGCCTGGTGCAGCCGTTGGAACTGCCCTGGATACCGGCGGGCCTCCTCACGTGGTATGGGCAGGCGATGCATTTTAGCTTGGATGCTTTGCACCTCCTCAAGCGGTTCAGTGCTCAACACCAGAGCCCACGAAGGGTGATAGAGTGGGGCGAGTCCTGGGTGGACCTCGGGGTTGGCCTCGAGGCCAGACTCCCCTTGAAATCGTTTACGCTCCACGACGAGCAGGCCGACACAGAGAGTTTTTATCGCTTGTGCCCGAGTTCCTACCCTCACAGGGCGGATTCGTTTGGGTGCGTGATGATGTGTTTTGTGTCGGCATTGCTGTCGTCACCGTGGGAGGGCGGAACAGACTTGTCGGAGGAGGAGCGCTTCCTGAATGCCTCGCTGTGCTACTTTGTCTGCCTCCTGAACAGGATGCAGGCATCGGCACGGCATGGGAGTGACTGGTCCGAACACTTTCTTCCAACTGCTACATTGAAAAACGTGCTCCACTCCAACATCTCAGCGATGGTGGCCGCAGTCTTCATCCCCACTGGCACGAGTGTGGACCCCAGGTCCTATGCGGAGAAGATTGCCGAGCACCGCTTCAGTGCAATCAAGGCTCCATTTCGGGGGACGCCATCGCTGCGAGATGGCGTCCTAGGAAGCCACCTGGCACACTTGCGACAGTTTCGCGATGGCTTCGTTGCTCCCCCGCCCAAGCCGGCGACCCGCTTGCCCTTGAACAAGGCGCAGAAGCTCCTGGAATGCAGCCTCGCAGATGCCATCACCCTGCAATCCTGGATCACCATGGACACGTCAGAGGCTACCCTCCGCAAGGAGATCCTGAACCCTGCAAGCCCTATAGGCCCTAAGCCCCTCTCGATCAGTCATTGCTTAGCTCCCTAATCCCATGCGAGGACTTCCAGAGCTGGTGGAAGAGCACTGGTCGCAAGCTTGTGTCCAAGACCTCTAAGGAAGAGACAGAGCAGGCGCTGCAGGAGGAGGTCGAGTTTGAGGCCGAGGAGTGCTTCGAAGAGGGCGATGCCGCTGAGAATGAGGCTGAGGAGGTCTTGATCGCTGCCGAGGACCACGTGCGGCAGAAGGAAGACCTGGAGGAGATCAGCAAGGCTTTGAGCAATGGCGAGTTGCCATCCACCGCTCCGGCTCCTGTTGCCGCGGATGCCGTGCAGGCTGAGGCCTTGGTTCCAGCTGAGGATGCCGACCTGGAGGAGTTGCCCCCAAAAAGCTTCCATTGCTTGCTTGAGCAAGCCCGGTCGATGGAGTGCTTCAAGCTTGAGGGCGAGGCTTGCGAGGGCTACGCAGGTTGCCGCGACCGGCAGCTAGCACTGATGCCCCTGCTGACCAAGTTCACTCAGTCGGTACGCCTCCGCGAGCGCCACATGTCCGTGGCGGCGATTCTGGGAAGCGAACGACCGCCATTGTCCGCATATCATGCCTTGCAACATGAGCTCGCCCTAGCACGCCATGCCACGAGCACAGACGGCTCCCGCCAGAGCCGCATGAGGACATGGATGTCAACGACGGCCTCTTTGTTCGCCATGCTTGAGAAGCACGACGATGGCGACTGGCAGATTCGCAGAGCGGAGCGGCTGAAGACTGGGACCGGACCCAGTGCACAGGTTGTCGTCTTCAAGGATCACGACCCGGCGACCGGTCTTGTCACCCTGAGCCTCGGCCAGCTGCGAACCATCTTCAGGGGTGCCACGGTGCGCACCAAAGATGATGGCCCTCGCAAGCTCAGGAGTGCCAAGCCAGTGGTTCAGAGCCTGCCGTTGACATCGGTGGCCCGCTGCAGGATCCTTCGGCTCAGCAAGCTTTCCGAGCATCACTACTACTACTCAGCCTTCAGCGAGATGCTCATGGTCGACCCCTTGGGCACAGTGGTAGGCGAGGTGCGGGTGCGAGAGATGCAGGAGAAGTTCGGCAAGACCGTGCTTGCCTTTGGCGACCGAGCCATGCGAGGATTCCACACCTGGCAGCAGAATGCCGCTGAGCTGCTCAAAAGTCTCAAGGACCCAGTCGTGCCGGCAGAAAGCCCGGCTGAGATCGCGCCAGCAGTCGTGCAGAGCCGCATGTACAGCTGGAACGACTTCTCCAGAACCGCTGCCGGCACGAAATGCATCAAGGAGTTCATGGAGACGCTCCCGCTGCTGTACGAGGCCAAGGAAAAGCCCATCCTCACAGACGGCTGCTTCTCCTTCCCGATTTCTGGCGGCAGCCAAAAAAGCATTGCTTGGCCAGAGGTGGTGACGCTCGCCCTGATTCTTTGTTTAGTGGTTTCTTAGGGTCCGGGGCTGCAGCTACATTTTTTAAGCCTGTCTGTCCCACGGCTCCCATCCAAAAGCATGCTCGTCCGAGATTGCGCAGCCCCGACTTCTTCGACACGGTGCTCCAGGGCAAGAGTTCCAAGGCCAAGGACTTCGGCACATGTGTGCTGAACATGCTACGCGATGTTTTGCCGGCACCGGGGCCGGAGTGCACTCAAAAGCTGCGCCGGTTAGTGCGATGGCTGGACGAGGCATCTCATCAGGTGTCCGAAACTGAGCATCCCCACACGCTTAGATCACGAACTTGTTCAAAAAAAAATCACTTGCCACTCCTAGGCTCAAGATTTGATGGGTGTCGCTGCCGATCGCTTCCACAGAGGGGCTCGCCCCTCAATGACGTGCTATCGCAAAGCATTTCCGCTGTAGGGAAGGGCTTGCAGATCCAAATCCTCCTATTTTGGCTTAGGTTCGTGGCGGCTGCTTCACGCCCACGGGGGCTCAACAGCAAGCGGCGATGAAGCAGTGGAGCTGAAAAAAAAGAGAGTGCAACTTTTGAGTGCTTAACGTCCCTAAACTGTGTCTTGCATGCCCCAAACAGTCCCAAACATCTGCTGCAACTTTTGAGGGTTTAGGGTCGCTGACACACCGTCTCGTAGGTCCAGCTCTGCATGTCATTCACTCGTGATGTCTCCTGAGGGGGGGGTCCCTCATCCACTGGATCATAGCAACATAGGGGGGGAGGGGGGCTAGAAGCGCAACCATTGCACCTGTCATCGTCCCCCCCAGCGAACGCATGGGGGATACTGCAGCTTGGAGGGCATCGCACAACCTGGCAGCCTGCAGAGTAAGACCGTTTAGCAGCATGCACGTGGCAGTTTGTTTAACTCGAGGTTGGAAGCATCCAACTATCCAGCAGCCGGCAGAGCTCTCAGAGTTGCAGAGTCAGACGTTGGGCAGTGCAGTTTGGAAGGCATCGCACAACCCGGCAGCCTGCAGAGTTAGACCGTTTTGTAGCATAGCAGCTTGCAGAGTTCTCGGTGTTGCAGTGACAGGAGGCATCCAACTATCCAGCAGCCTTGCAGAGTTCTCACTGTTGCCGAGTTTGACGTTTGGCGCTGCAGTTTGGAGGGCATCGCACATGCAGAGTTAGACCGTTTAGCAGCATGCTCTGGCACTGCAGCTTGGAGGGCATCGCACAACCTGGCAGCCTGCAGAGTAAGACCGTTTAGCAGCATGCACTTGGCAGTTTGGTTAACCAGAGGTTGGAAGCATCCAACTATCCAGCAGCTTGCAGAGCTCCCAGTGTACTATCCAGCAGCTTGCAAAGTTGTCAGTGTTGCACAGTGTGACTCTGGGGGTTCAAGTGTGCGTGGATTCTTGATCAAGTAGTTCCATTCGACCCGTGTTGAAACACGGATCTGGGAATCTCGCGCTTCTGCAAGCTCTCAGGTGTTCAGCCTCTGTTTGCACTGAACGCGACTATTGTGCGAAGATTGAGCAAGAGCATGTGTGTTAGGACCCGCAAGATGCTGAACTTTGCCTGCGAAGTACTGAGTGAGTGAGGTGGGTGAGGTGGCGGGTGAGGTGGGTGAGGTGGGTGAGGTGAGTGAGGTGTGAGTGCGGTGAGTGAGGTGAGTGAGGTCAGTGGTGAGTGGTGAGTGGGTGAGTGCCGGAAAGGGCTTTACAAACAATTTTCCAAATGCAGTGGTACGGAACGCGCGGCTTTTGAAACGTGGCCTATGAAATGCAAAACTGCTGTGAAGCATTTGCTAAACACTGGAAGAAAGGGCCAAAAAGAAGAAGAACTTGCCGGAAAGGCTTTACAAGCAATTTTCCAAATGCAGTGGTACGGACTTTGCGGCTTTTGAATTGTGGCCTATGAAATGCAAAACGGCTGTGAAACACTTGCTAAACACTGGAAGAAAGGGCCAAAAGCAAAAAGAACTTGCCGGAAAGGCGTTACAAGCAATTTTCCAAATGCAGTGGTACGGACTCTGCGGCTTTTGAATTGTGGCCTATGAAATGCAAAACGGCTGTGAAACACTTGCTAAACACTGGAAGAAATGGCCAAAAAGAAGAAGAATTTGCCGGAAAGGCTTTACAAACAATTTTCCAAATGCAGTGGCACGGACTCTGTGGCTTTCGAATTGTGGCCTGTGAAATGCAAAACTGCTGTGAAGCACTTGCTAAACACTGGAAGAAAGGGCCAAAAACAAAAATAATTTGCCGGAAAGGCGTTACAAACAATTTTCCAAATGCAGTCGTACGGACTCTGCGGCTTTTGAATTGTGGCCTATAAAATGCAAAGCTGCTGTGAAAAGCACTTGCTAAACACTGGGAGAAATGGCCAAAAACAAAAAGAATTTGCCGGAAAGGCTTTACAAACAATTTTCCAAATGCAGTGGTACGGACTCTGCGGCTTTTGAATCGTGGCCTATGAAATGCAAAACTGCTGTGAAGCACTTGCTAAACACTGGAAGAAATGGCCAAAAACAAGAAGAATTTGCCGGAAAGGCTTTGCAAACAATTTTCCAAATGCAGTGGTACGGAACGCACGGCTTTTGAATCGTGGCCTATGAAATGCAAAGCTGCTGTGAAAAGCACTTGCTAAACACTGGGAGAAATGGCCAACAAGAAGAAGAATTTGCCGGAAAGGCTTTACAAACAATTTTCCAAATGCAGTGGTACGGAACGCACGGCTTTCGAATTGTGGCCTATGAAATGCAAAACGGCCGTGAAACACTTGCTAAACACTGGAAGAAATGGCCAAAAAGAAGAAGAATTTGCCGGAAAGGCTTTACAAACAATTTTCCAAATGCAGTGGCACGGACTCTGCGGCTTTCGAATTGTGGCCTTTGGATTGCAAAACTGCTGTGAAGCACTTGCTGAACGCTGGACGAAATGTCCAGAAAAAGAAGAATTTGCCGGAAAGGCTTTACAAGCAATTTTCCAAATGCAGTGGTACGGACTGTGCGGCTTTCGAATCGTGGCCTGGTGACAGCAATGCCGCTCACTGATGGAGGACGCTGCCGACCATAAAACGATTGTTGTTACGTCTTTGGCAGTAAATTTTGCAATGTCTGTTGCTTAGGATGAAGAATGAAGAGTTGCAAGAGAATGCCGGCAGTGATGGTGACCATTTAGCCTCGCATGTGCCGGAAGCAGTTTTCACAGAAACCCCCCTTCCCCCCATACAATGGCTAAGCTTGGTTCAACAAGAGCGACACGGAATGCTGGGCTTGCTGCTCCAATTGCGGTATCTGCTTATTGTAACCTTTGTAATTCCCAAAAGCCCGGACCAAGGTCCGCGCTTGCTTTGCCGAGAAAACCGTGGTCCGCGGTAGGTTTGTCGGTTAAATGCTCGGGTCCGCGCAGGTCCGCGCCGGTTTGGTCGAGAAAACTATGGTCTGCAGTAGACTTCTTAGCCAAATGCTCAGCTCCGTGCAGGTCCGCGCTTGCTTTGCCGCGAAAACCGGTCCGTGCTGGGTTTCTGGGCTAAATGCTCGTGTTCCACAGCTGAGAAGACCGTGCGAACGGTTTCTGAGCTAAAGGCTTGGGTCCGCGCAGGTCCGCCCCGGGTTTGCCAACAAAACCGCAGGTCCGCGCCGGTTTTGCCGAGAAAACCGTGCTAGGTTTCTGAGCTACATGCTTGCGCCCGCGCAGGTCCGCGCCGGGTTTGCCAAGAAAACCGTGCCAGGTTTCTGAGCTAAATGCTTGGGTCCGCGCAGGTCCGCGCCGGGTTTGCCGAGAAAATCGTGCTAGGTCTCTGTGGTTGGCCGGTAGCTTTGAGGTCTGCAGTGCTCGGCTTTTAGGGCCTGAGGGCTCAGCAGTCTGAATTCATCCCCTCGCTCTGCTCCCTAAACCTCGACACCCGAGCGGGCAGTCCAAGCTTCCAAGCCATGGGGTCTTTAGCCGCAAATCCTAGGGCCTTAGGGCTCAGCAGTTGAAGTCATCCCCTCAGCTCTGCTCCCTAAACCTTGAAAGCCGAGCGGGCAGTCCAAGCTACCAAGACCAAGCCATTTGGGGCAGTAGCCGCCAGGATTCTGCAGTTCTGGGCAGAGTGCTTTTTGCGGTGCAAGCTCGCGCGGGGGAGAGCTTTTTTGTGCTGGGTTTTTTCTGTAAGCAAAGGTTTGCGCTGTATGCTTTGCATTTTTAGTGTGGTGAGTGAAGAAGCAAAAGGTTTGTGCTGTATGGTTTGCAGTTTCAGTAAGGCAAATGAGTGGGCGTGCAGCTCTCTGCGCAGGTGTTGGCGAGAGCGCCATGTCGTTGCACAGCCGGGTTCGCAGCTCGAATGTGTTTGCTTTGCTCTGGGAGGTGTGTGCACGTGTGTGCGTGTGTGCAAAGCCTTGTGGACGAGCGTTTGGGCTCCGGCTCCGGCTCACCTTGCTTAGTAGGCGCTTTCCCCTCTCTTTGCAGCTGCCATGGACGCTAACGCTGCGCCCAGCTTGGGGGACAGATTCGCTGCTCTCAAGGCCGATCGGGCCCGCTTGCTGCGTGAAAAAGCTGAAAAAAGCAAAGAAATCCGAACAACTCAAAAGCGCTTCAAGAGATTGAAGAAGGCGGCCGCGAAGTTGAGCCAGGCAGACTTGGTGGAGTTGCTCCGTGTCAAGGAAGCGCAGGTTCGTCAAGCAGCTCCGAAGGCCAAGGCCGCAGCGGCGCCTCCGCTTTGAAGCCTGCACCTTCTTCCTTCTCCGACTGAGCAGGGGTACGCCTGTGCAACCGGCGGCGTTCACAAAGGAATGTCAGTGGCTGGTAGTACAGGCGTAGTGCCGTTTCACACCTGTGTGTTTCCAAGTGTTTCAAGGCCTCGAAGAGGCTTGGTGCGGCGTTCCATTCGCTACGAATGCAGGTCGCCGTTTTCTTGGCTTGTCTCACCGTCTCGCGTTGCCCACGAGTGTGTACAGAACGGACCTCGTGAAACGAGCAGGATGGTGATATGAGGGCCCAAAACAAGGGCCGCAAACGCTTCCTGGAATGGGTGTTGCAGGCTGGCCCTCCAGCGTAGTGCCCGAATAGTG